TGTGAAAAATTTGAAGCTTATGGTGCCAACCCACGTCCTATTGAACAATCAGAGCTGAATGACTTGGTGCGTGAACCGGGCTTGCCTAATTGCAAGGCCGAGTTTTTGGCATTTCAGCTGCTGCAGTGGCACTTACTTGCTGCAAACAATAAGGTTATTGCATACAGAAATCGAAATGTTAAATTGTCCGGTTTTGTGACACGAGAGAAACCTTTTGTTACTGTTCCGACGTGGAAGGAGCTTGGCGTGAGGCATATCGGTGATGAGTGGCAACTACTCATTGATTTTTCCAAGCGAAATCTTAAGATCATACTGCTCCCTAGTGGAAATGTGTACTCAGCTATGCTTCCGTTGCATGCCATCAACGTGGAGGAGTTATTAAAGTATGCAATAGATACTCGCCGCACTGAACTACGATAAGTACTGTTGGAACATCTGTGCTGATTCCAAAGTCACTGGACTCCTAATGGATATGCATGGAGGCTTCACAAAATAGTGCCGTTTCCTGTGCCTATGGGACAGTAGAGCAACTCAACAGCACTACACAACCGTAAAGTGCCCATACAGGACGGAGTATGCTACAGGGAAAATAAGTGCGAAGCATACACCTGTTGTGCAACCTATCTATCTACCACCCCTGCACATCAAGGTTGGTTTGATTAAAACTTCGTCATAGCTCCCAAGCGAGCTGTTTTTGCGTTTCAGTACTTGTAACAAATGTTTAAAAAAGCATTGCTGCGAAGCGCAAAGAAGGGATACTTACTGGGTCTGATATTCCTCGGATAATGTCAGACAGTGCTTTCGAATGGCAGTTGACTTCATTTGATTTATACGCGTGGAAATCATACAAGGAAGTGAGTACAGGATTTTTGGGCAGAACAAAGACAGAGAACTATAAAGACATTATAGAATACTCACTGCAGTCTATCAGGCTGTTAGTGCTCGTATGCCACTTTCTGTTGCCGATGAACATGATGAGCGCTCCCACCAACGCATTTCAGTCATGGAGCAGCCCTACACTGACAAGTACACGCCTTCTGTGATGGGTGACTTTTGCTGGTTTCTGCAGCTTGAGGACACTGGATCATATAAGTGACGATCTCGGTGAAATCCTCATTTCTCCGTGCCAAGCAGTAGTCAGTAGTTATGGGCGAGTGTAGCAGTGATGTTTCAAACGCATGTACACGCACAGTACCTTTACATATAATTCGTCCGATCTAGACTGGACATTATTGATAATATTCATTAGCCTATAACGGTGTATTCTGATGTGCTAGGTAACATCGGAATACATTTCTACGATCATTGGAGTGTATTTTATCAGGTAGAAACATTGGCATTTCTGTTATGGAGAATAAACTTATTTTTGTTTAACAGTGTTGTCAGTGATGAATAAGGTTCGTGTAACTAACATTGGCTGGAATCGTCCAGTGTCCCATTAGGAATACATTTGACGTCTGCTGTACTCCAAGGTTGAGGTATCCCAAGTGTGAATGGACCATGTCCAGTTTGATCGAAGCACGGAAATAGATCCAAACGCGTACTGTGATGAAGAAAGGTAGCGCTATTCCGAACAGTCAACTGTTACTTCACCTCATCCGGAATACCATTCCGAGGGTGCCATCAGTTAGTGAGACAATGGCATCGTCAGCTAGCTCGTTGGGCGGAACATTTCGAAGAGCAGTTCAGATGTCCTGCTTCGACGCAGCCGCCTGTCGAATCGCCTGAGCCGTCGTGAGAAACAAACGTTACACCTCCCACTTTGGAAGAGATTCGACAGGAGATCATCGGGTTGAAGTGATACCAAGGCTCCTACACCCGATGACTTCCTCCATCTTTGCTGAAAGATTTTGGTGACTTCGTTAACTGCACTTGTTGTTCTTTTTAGCGATATTTCTTGCACTGACGAAGTCCCTTCAGACAGGCGTCTGTTAACTATCTTGCGCAGCTTCAAGACTGGTCAGCGCACTTTGCACAGAAATGATCAAGGTATTAACTGTCTTTCTACTACCTCCAAACTCTTCACAGATATCATTCATGGACTTCATACTGGTACTTAACACTAGAACGTCCGAAGCGGTCATTTTGACCACTGAGCGTTAACTGTGCATTGTTCCACCATTTTTCAAGGGTGTTACCTCCTTCATAACTGTGAAGTTTCACTTTAATATCTGTTATGGTTTTCGAGAAAAGAAGTACTTGTGTTCGTACTACCGAAAAAGCCCGTTAGCGGTCAAAATGACCGCTTTCCTCTAATCCGGTTTCTTTTTTGTTTTCAGCCTTCACTGTTATTTCTGACAAAGTTACATGGAATATCAGTCACAACGGGAGTGAAAGCTGGACGATTCACGATTTCCCAGTAATATTGTGCTTTCGTTCCGCTAAATTTCAGTGCCATTGATACATAATTGCTCTTAGGAGGAAAACAGCTTTTGAGGCTTTACGAGAACTTATAGCTATCGCTTATGACGATACTAAAGACGCGAATGAATATGATGTTGATGAAGATTTTATTTTCCAGGAGTCGGCAGAAGATCACAGCATCCCTGATAGTTAACCTGACAGTGGCACTCCTCGTGAGGACAGTAATGAGAGTGTACCAGCCGATTCTACATCCTCCAGTGTTCACATATCGAAAGATGGTGCATCGTGGACTGCAATGGACTTCCAGACAACTACTGTTGCTAGGATGCCATCATATTGTTTTCAACGCTAGAGCAGGACCAACGGTCTACGCTAAGAAATGTGTGAAATATGGTGAGCTCCAGCGCTTTTGACATCATACTCACGTCCCAGATGCTGAAACAGATTCAAGTATGTACTGAAGCTGAGGCCAAGAGAGTTTTAGGTGTCAATTGTCAATAGAATATAAGTATTACTAAGCTGCGTGCGTTTATCGGGCTGCTTTACATTAGGGGCTTTATGAGGTCGAAGAACATGTCATGTGGTGCGATAAATACAGATTGCCTCTTTTCAGGGAGACAATTGGCAAGGACACATTCAAGGAAATAATGAGGTTCCTTCGTTTTGATATGCGAGCTACCAAAAATGAAAGACTGCAGACTGACAAATTTGCTTTGATATCGGAATTCTGGAATGCATTTATTCGTAACTCCAAACAGTACTCGGTGTCTGCGCAGAATCTCACCGTCGACGAGCAATTGTTTCTCACCAAAATCCACTGTACTTTTCTTCAATACATGGCCAATAAACCTGATAAGTTCCGGATCAAGTTTTGAATATTGGCAGATGTGGACAGCACAAATTTTGTGAACTGTTTTCCATTTCTCGGAAAGGACGAATCTCGGCCACGAGGAGAAAGTGTTCCAGAAAACTTGGTATTAAGAGCTTTATGTCGCCCTTATTTGAAAAGGGTTACAATGTCACGTGACAATTTCTTCACATTTGCGGCATTGAGAGGAATTCTCTTCAAGTAAAATGCAAGTATGATGGGAACTATTCTAGCTTATCGAAAGAAAGTGTCAGCAAAGCAGTAGAGAGCTGTTCAGTTCACTCATTATGAAGAATAAGAATAAACACACATTAGCATCCTACCAGTGTAAAAAAGATAAAAGGTTTTGTTTTTCAATTCCTTGCACAGTAACTCTTCAACTCGAGACTAGAAAAAGGAAGCCCGAGACTGTATTGTTTTACAACTCCATGAACTATGGGATAGATGTACTCGACCAATTAGCAAGTACACTCACTGTCAAGTCATCGTCTCGACGATTACCAGTCCAAGTATTTTTCAACTTGCTGGATTTGGCTAGCATTAATTTCAGGATAATTTATAATAGTGTCTGCGGAAATAAATCATCACACCGGTCATATCTGATGGGTATTACGGGAGAACTGAGTGGATCCATACACCACACAGTGTTCGTGACAACTGGACTTACGATGAACAACTCTGCAGTTTGAAAGTCGTGAGACAAATAAACGTCAGTGGTGTCAGATTAGTTACTGTACAGGTAACAAGTCGAAGAGCGAATGCCCTATATGTGAAAAAATAGTTTGTGTCTCATGTGGGCAGGTTGAGTGAGTTACCACCCGTTTCAAATGCAAATCTGAATAAGCGAGTAAAATTATTCTCAACTTTTGAAAAGATTAAAGTACACTACGGTTATTTTTCGCTTACAGATATGTCCTACTCATTGTTTTTAGTATGTATATTGAAAAAAAACCGTAAATAAAACTTCGAATAGAGAAATACAGTGATGCGGTCATTTTGGCCTTTCCCGGACGTTCTAGGTATAACGGCAGTGCGGTCTTTTTAGTGTTACACGATTTAGTGATAACATAATATACCACGAATTTTCCAATGGAAATGTTGAAAAATGTGCAGGCGAATCTATTCCGGCTTGCCACAGACCAAATGGCGAGAAAAAGCTTGCCGGTCTCATGTGAGTCTGATGTTGGAACGGGCTGAATGGTTAGAGTGTCTATTATCTGTACCAATAACAGCGGCCCCGAAAGTATGTTAATACAGTGTTGGCTTATTGATTGTTTCGCAACATCAGCACACGGCCAGATGGGGTGTGAAAGTACGGCGAGTCTCCACATGGAACAGTGGTATACTAGGGTTAAAAAGTCAATGCTTACAAATCATGAAAGAGGGAAAGAATTCAAAAAACATGCTAAAATGGAAGCAGGTCCTCAGGATACAGTTGGATACAGATACAGATGGATGTGTTGCTTCACTTTAAGATTAGTACCTTTATGTATTCCCACTCTCAGATTCTTCGTCTTTCGAATGCATTTAACCGATTGAATACCAAGAAAACTGTTTTGAAGACATCTGTGTAAATCACAAAAATTTCCATCATATCCCGTTGAACAAAATGATCAGACCTACAAGTCTGTATCTAGCAGTATCAAGAAACAAAATAGTTGTTTGTTAGTTAGGTCACTGTTCGCACTGCTGAAGTGCACGGAATAATCACACAAGCATACGTTGATATGTAGAATTTCCACTCAACAAAAGACACACCGTTACCTACCTTCTCCGTTACCTTCAATTCTGAATCATCCAGTGCAGCGATCTGGTTTTCCAAATTCGAAATAACAGTTTGCATCTCATCACGGGCCGAAGAAATTTCCCCTCGAAGTTGAGTGAGGTACTGCAATTTCTCCTGCTTTGCCAATAACTCCGGTTTATTCAGAGATAACTTTGATTGCATTGCGGAAAGTGCCTCCTGTCCTTCAGCGTATTTAGCCTTGGAGGCAAGTGCCTGCTGATAGAACTTGAACGGAAATACAATGCTGGTTAAAATGCTCTACCTGAGTTCCATGAGAAGTTTGTTTCAATTGGATAAATTCTATAACTTTTGAAAACATGAACATCCATTTTCTTCGATCTCCACAGTCCAAATCGATGATGTCGAAAGGTGCAGCTAAGCGCAAATCCGTTACTACCTTGTTCATAAGATCTAGCAACTTGACCCGGCTGAACTCTCTGTGTGGCATGTCGAAAAAGTAGGTGATAAGCACCCACATTGTCTCATGCATCAGCTCAGCTGCAAAGTGATCAGAATGATCTAAACAAGCACGCACGTTTTGACAAGATATCCATAGATACTTCTCGATTTGTAACTGCCGAAATGGCTCTCACTAATTCCGCAGGGGACAGATAAGTTCCTGCGGGGGTGCAGAGAAGTGAACAGACCGAACTGACACGAACCATCAGCATTATTCATCATATAAGCAGGAATATACGTATCCGCTAAAAGCAGAAGCAATGAGAATCGATGAGTTGGTTGGAAAAGTTCGATGGGCATTAGATTTTACATTTAATCAAATTCCGCGAAATGCAGAGAAAAAGAGCACGGGTAAGGAGAACAATGGTTAAAGTGGGAAAAGCTAGTGAGAGGAACTAGCACACCAAACCTACAGGTTGTCTGCAAACAAGTCGCAAATCAACCGAAGAAAGTGCAGTGAATCAGAAACAAAATGGGCCCTAGTGCTGTGTCTTAAGGCATCTCAATGGAGGAGGGACACCAAACAAGTTGGTGATCTTCCACCTGTACACTCCACTGCCCAATAAGAAAGGTGCTGATCCGCCGGTGAAGTGAGCCACCAACACCGCAAATCCGTAGCTTGCGTAAGAGGACCTGGTAATACACCTATTCGACCGCTTTGCTGCCGTGCGACCGCCAGTCGCGCGCGGGCCGTATATCGGGAGGACGCCCACCGCTACGCGGAGTCGAACTGGTGACCTTATGGTTGCAAACCAGGCGCGCAGACCACTCGTCTACCATACTGCAGCCATTCATACTTACTCACGCGCGATGCATGAGCGGCGTTTCATGAAACCGTGCTGTGTTTATGTCAGGTATTACGATTTCAGCAGCTGCAGTAATCTTTACTTCACGATATTTGCGAGTACCTTGGCTAAACGGAGGTCAGACAAATAGGCTGGTAATTGTCCACCTTGCTTGGGTCACCTTCTTTCGGAACTCGTATTACTACCGAGCCTTTTCAGCCGCTTGGTAATGCGCCTTCGAACAGCGACGTATTGATCAGATCAGCCACGAAAGGCGAGATGATAGCAAATACAGCCCGCCAGTACTGGCAGGCTTCGTGCTGTCAAGACTGGTGAGTAGATTGCGCACATCTTCCACATCGCAATCCAGGTTGCCGAGTACGGTTGGGGACTTTTGTGACTGGTCCAATGCACGGTGTGTTTGTTTCGCGGACAAATACGCTTGAGTACAGTTCACTGGTCGGCCGGTTAACAAGTGGTAGGCGCTACTGGTTTGCAACGATAAAGTCACCGGTTCGAATCCGCGTAGAGGGGGCGTCCTCGCGGTATACTCAGCCCGCGCGCGACTGGTGGTGGTCGCGTGGTATCGAAGCGCCGTTACGGTGTATAGCTGGCGATTTATTATTGTTACTACTGTTCACCAAGCATAGGCGCCTCAACATAGTCGATATAGGCATGGGTTCCATCTGTTTGACACTGGAATACGCGAGCTTGCAACGCAGCGTCGCTTAACGTCGGCGAAGAACTTCGGATTGGTAGAGGCAGTAACGGATAAGTCCTTTCCGTACGGAAACCGGACCAACCTAAAATATAGCTCGTACTTATTCAGAAGCACCTAATACCTGTCAAACGAGCTATTCGACGGAGCTGTTCGATACGTTTTTTATCATCCAGAACGCTTCACCAGTAGGCTTTTCCTCAGAAAATCTATCCATGGAGACTGCGCTCTCGATCCATTGTTTTCACCAATGGGATATGAAATGCAGGAACAGCCAGGAGACAAGCCTCAAAATGTTCACAGGTTACCTGAATAATTCCCGTCTCAAAGATCGCACAAGATGACGAATTCAGGTCTCGCATCGCCTGAAAGTTCGTAGCTTAAATGTTAAGATGCCAAATACTAGTAGCATGGAAACTAGAAGTTCACGCTGAAAAGACAAGCAAATGTGGTCGCCAGCACCAAAAGGTCAGACGTAAGTAATGTCACTTGCAAAGAGACTTAGCGAAACAGGATCAAAGATAGATGACTGTCGAGTGCTCATGCACTAGTTGCTAGGTCCAGGAAATGATGTAGTGGTATATGCAACGTGAAGTCCATCAGATGCGTACCAAAAGATACCAGAGTCGAGAAACAGGAGAGAGTTGCCCAGCAATTGCAGTGTAGGAAAGGTATCAGCAGTACGGCTCTACGCAGAATCGACACTTGGCTACTGCGTAACCACCACCAATCGCACATAGGCTAAGGATATTGTAAAGGTGTACCGGTCCCTACGTAAGCTGAAACCTGCGTCCTCGGATTACAGGGCAGGCAATGTGAACATTTAGGCGGAGTCGGCTTATTTGCTTAGTGAGCGCGTATGAACTCGATGGTCCCCATGGAGGTACCCATATAGCTTATATACACTATCACGTCCATAAACTGAGCCGAAAAAGCACAGATCACAACGGCGAGAGTCTCAACACTTGTCTAACGACTGAAAAACGTTGGCTCTCAATACGCCTAGGTGGTAGCTCACATAAAAAGTTGCATCACCTTAACGACCGATGGAGCTGTTAGCGCGGAGCAGTGCGTAGTCAGGTAGACACACATTGCCGCCAGTGATTTCTTCAGTCAACCATGTTACAGAAAAAGCGAGTATATCTAGACAACATTTGTTGACGAGCAGACCCACCCTTTCATTATGTTCCTCAGGCTGGGCATGTTGCATAGCTGTACTTAAATGACCACGGCACGACAAGCCAGAATAGATACTTAAAGGGCGGAAATAGACCACTGGCTGACCACCTGAAAACCCAATAGGAGACCCGCTCCCTAGCTGCAGACCGAGATTTGTAGTCTCTGATGACACACTTTAACTTGAGCTTATCCGTTAACGGGAAGTCAGGTTGCCCACTACATCGCAAAGAGTCATCATCATTCATCATTATACACGTTAGCTAGAGGTGGAAAACACCTGTTACTGTGCTGCAAACATCCCAGCTACTGTGCAGCACACCTCAGCTACTGAGCCGCAACACGTCAGCTACTGTGCCGCAACGAGACTACAACTTTACGTAGTGTAACAGTTTGTGTATCTCTTTGATCCATTGAGTTATACTAGATGGTGCCCCCAGGCCCTATGGAAGCTACTCCTACCAGGTAAGAAGTCAGACGAACTCAGTCACCTGGTGCTCTAGGTTGAGGGGTTGGAAATGGCGTGCATATACTTCTGTGACACAAAATGGATTCCAACTCCCCGCTGCCACGCGGATAGACTTTTGAACTGAAGGCTTTGGTTAAAGACCAGAATCATCCTCTTGTCTAGACCTGCGCGTCCTGGCAGTACCTAAGCCCACGTGTAACCATGACCATTTCCTCAAACCATATCCTGCTACTGCAGGAGCCTCCCATTTTCATTTCCACCTGTTCCACTTGTTTTTGTCCTAACCCCATTTCATCATCATAATTATACACATTAGACAGGTGTGGAAAACACCTCAGCTATTGCGCTGCAATACTTAAGTAAATACTAAGAAAAACGCGCGATAGGAGCACGTCAGTTATGTATGTATGTATGCTCAACAGTCTATTAGCTAGACAAAGAGCCAGCCTAAAACCATGGAGATAAGGAGATAAGCAAGATTCATGGCGTCATAATCATCGCGGCATGCTAGTTGAAGGTGAGCAACACACTTCAACTAATATGCCGCAGGAAGAATGGAACATTTTGATAAAAAGCAGAACAAAACATTTTTAGTTTGTTTTTCACACGCCGTTCTGGTTCTTTTTTTGTCATTTTAATATTTGTAGAATTAAACATGTGAATCAATACAATAATGTACACAATTCTTCCACTGATTCCGGTTGCGAGCCATATCTTCAAGAGTGCTAAGCCATTGGCACTCCTCATCTTTGGGTCCCCATCCTGGAAGACGTACGGATCCAACAGCGGCTAGACACGACGTCAGCGATTTCATGTGCTGCCGCCAAGTGGAAGGCTGACCACCACGCGGTCGCCTCCAGCCAGGTCCTTGACGAGCGAATAGAGCGCGACGCGGTAGACGCTCAGGTGCCATGCGTAGGACGTGACCGAGCCATCTCAACTGGCGCAACAAAACCAGTTTGTTGAAGGGAATACTCGCATTCCCCAAGATGCGACGTCGAACGTCATTACTGTTAACTCGATGTTGCCACCAAACACGCGCGATCCTCCTTAAGCAACCGTTATCGAACGCAGAAAGACGACGCATGTCTTCCACGCGAAGCGGCCAGGACTTGCACCCATACAACAATATTGAGCGAACTGATGCACTGTAAACGCGGCCCTTTAGTGAGAATGTGACGTCGCGACGACGCCACAAGTGCCTCAAATTGACAAATGCCGATCGAGCTTTAGCGATACGAAGAGAAATTTCTTTGTTGATAGTGCCATCAGCAGAAATACAGCTCCCAAGGTAGACGAAACTATCTACCTGTTCAAGTTGTGCACCTTCGAGAGTGAGTACGGGAGCAGGCGAATGCCAATCTTTGAGCAGTATTTTACACTTCGATGGGGCGAAGCTCATGCCATACTTAGAAGCTTCAACCACCAAACGATACAGAATGAGTTGCATACTCTGAGGATCGTCACCAAGTAAAGCGATATCATCAGCATAATCTAAGTCAGTCGCGCGCTCACCCGGTAGAAGCTCTAGGCCAAAATATTGGAAACCTTCTAGAGCATTCGACAGAACGTCTTCGATTGCGAAGTTGAAGAGGAATGGGGACATAAGGCAGCCCTGTCGCACACCGCTATTGACAGTGAATTGCGAGGAAAGCTTGCCATAGACCCTTACTCTGCCGGATGTATGAAGGCAAAGTGCTCGTAAGATGGCGGTATATTTCTCTCTGGCACCCCGTTCTTTGGTAAGCAACGCCATAAAGCAGGTCGATCAACGGAGTCAGCACGTCAGTTGAGCCAACAGTAACGGATGAGCATCAATCCGGAGAGCTAGCAGCCGGCTGCTGTGCCGCAAAAGATGCATATACCTAGGAAATGAGATCATGGTTGGAGTGGGAGACTAAGCGCGAGGGTGAAAGAAACACACAGCACAAATAAAACTGAAATCTGATCACAGCCATGAAAACAAGTGTATCCAGCCAAACGTGTTCGTCTTTTGGATCCCAAACAAGGAGTCGACAGGCTCCAACCGAGGCCAACTCCAAACTAAGGGGTACATCACTCTTGACCACACATACACACATGAGATGTGCTAGCTAGA